TTAAGTAGACGGTGTATCCAGAATTTATAATTACAAAACCGCTTGTAAAAGATATCGTTTCTGAGAAGCAGATATTGTTTTTCTTTTGTATAAATATGATTTTTCTGGAAATTGAAATCGAGATATCTTAAAATAGAACACACATATATGTTATATACATACTGTGTAAAAGGTGTCTGTAATTTGTAACTTGTAAAAGGCTTCTCTCGGGCACCTCTACACATTTTTTCTTTAAGTTGATAACTCTGTACTGTAATTATACTTTTGAGTGTTCTGTGATGTCACAAGTCCATGTGCTACGTGAGAATTTCTGTGAAAAACCCAACTAATAAAACCAACCAAGAACCGAAGGTTTCTGAAGGCGTTAGAATAAAATTTTTTGTTTTAAATTATATAAATTCGAATGCTTTGCACATTAAATGTGTATGTATAAATATTTTTAATATTATATATTTCAATTACAAGTCAGAGCTAAGGTAGTCGGACTAAATATCAACGAGAACAAAACAAACTATATTCAAGTTGATGATTTCACTTTTAAAGAAGTACAAAGCGCCAAACACATAGGTGCTCTCATTAATACCAACAATGACATCAGTGTTTGTATCTAAAACAGAATTGTGGCAGCAAACAGAAGTTACTACGGACGGTCGAAAATCTTCAAATCTAAAATCGTGACCAGAAGCGCCAAACTACACGCTTACAAGGCAATCATCCGTCCGTTATTATATTACGGGGCCGAAACTTGGACTTAAATAACAGATTTGAAAACCAAATCAGAGCTTTTAAAAGAATGTGCTGAGAAAGATTTATGGTCCCATCCACCTGAATCACGAAGAACTTTTTGTAACGGTGAACATGAAGTAAAGTTCACAAAGTCGCAGCGCTTGAGTTGGATCTGACCTGTTATGAGAATGCCGAATGATAGACCTCGAAAGCGTATACTCCATTTCATGCCATATAACGACCGCAGCAGAGGCCACGTATAAGATGGCTCGACAACGTGATCGACGACATGGAGAAAGTTGGCTGATACAACTAAAGCTCATTCCGAGCTGTAACACTGATGATGATGATATTTTTTAATTCATAATTTTGGTTAAAATTCGATTTTACCTATTCATCAATTTTCATATATCAAAATTTTCTTTATATATATTTTTTTTTCTGCCTCTACAAACAGAATAGTATTAAAATTTAACAATTAAAAAAATAAAAATATAATTAATTCATTCAATTATTCTACAGCTAGTTTATGATTTCGTTCTAATATAAACACAGCAAATAAATTTGTTAATTAAACTTTGATAGCAAAGTAACAAAACTCCAGAAAAATGTGCGAACATTAAAGTCAAGTACGGTTTTGTGTCAATTGGTTGAAGAGCACTGACTCTGAGATTCAAAAATGGCAGGGCATGAATTCGATTCCTGGTACTTTTAGCCTCAAAAAAAAAAAAATTATTTACGAATAATTAAATACAAGAATTATTTCCAAGACCACTCATGATGGTTGTTTTGCAATACTCGAATTAGCTGTATGGTCAGCCAAAAATTCAATTAATTAAAATAATATAAGATGAATTTTTGTTGTTGTAGTTCATTACTGTTCGAAAAAAACCTCTATGTTTTTTTCCTAAATCAAGGAAAAAAATACTTAATCATAATGTAGTTTATAGAACCTTTTTCTAGAAGGAAAGAAAAACTAAAAGATATAGAATAGGATTGACATCCAAGTGAATTTTGTGTTATTTATAATCACTCAATAACAATATTTCAATCATTATAACATATAATTACTATTCTACGACTAAAAGCACCTTTCGAATTTTATCGTATCAAAAGAGTTGATTTATCCAAATCAACTAATGTGGAAATGACCGAAGAGTTGAAATCCCCTTAAGTGTGAACACAAGATTTGTATGATCTGTGAAGAATTATTTATGTATGTGAGTTGTCTATTACATCTCAACTAATGTTTATTCAAATTATGTGTACAATTTCAATAGAATTTAATAAGTGTTTCCACTTTTTTGTTAGGCAATGAAACGATCTTCTGCTGCGTAAAATTGTTATGAACGTTTGATCCATGACTCTCAATTAAGTTTCAAGCAAAATTGAATAAATTACTTAAGTGCGCCGCTCAGGGCATTGTGTGTAATCCAAAATCATTGGATGCGAATGACTACGATTCTCGTATTTTACGCCTTATAACATCAGAATATTTCCAGAAATTAACAATTTACGTAAATTTACGTAAACCAATTAAAGTTTTCTTTTCATTTAACTTAAATATTTACACTTAAATAGTACTAAAGATTTTGATCAAAGTACAAACAAAAAATTACTACTCATGTACTTTTAAGTTGAGATCTCAATTAGTGCAGTGTCAAATCTAAAAATAAGAAAAAAAACACTTCAAAGTGATAGTTTATATTTATAAAGTAAATATTTTCACATTTTTAATATTCTTAAACTCTGAGAATGATTTAAATGAATAAAAATGCTAAATAACAGCTTCACAAAAAATATTTTGATCTGAACTGTACTCAATAATTAATTAGTTTAATATAATAAAGTGAATGACTACAACTGATTCTGAAATGTACGACATGACTTAAGTTATCTGTGATATATAGTAATGTCATTGAACTCCAATACAATCGTACCAAACGGTTAACTAATTAACCTATTACACGATGTTTCTAACGAGACTTATTTCTAACGAGCCTTTTTCTATAAGCACTTAATAATTCGAACCATTCATATGTCCTTGGAACATCTCTTTGAAGTATACAAACACGTAGTACTATCTAAAAGCCAGATGTGCGACTAAAATTGGTAATGATGTTTACATACTCGCCTAAATCTGTTAACTATTTCAGACAGAGGCACTTCACATAATTAAAATATTCACAAAATTATTAAGAAAAATATTAGTTCTTATGAATTTGGGATGTCTTTTATATTAAAAAAATTTGACTCTGATTGATAATACTCAATTATTCTACAAAGCTTTAATTTTCCTTAAAATCAATTTCGGATGTTGAAATACAAATCCTCCTAATTATTTTTTTTTATAAAAAATTCATCCGTTGAACATGTACTCTCTTCCGACTAAGCATTTTGTACACAAGTACATTCCGAAAGTTCTTCACTGAAATAAATCTTTGATATCGAGATTGTTTACCCGAAAAGTTTGCTTGGTTATCTGTATACTTACTCTGTCTTCATCATTTTAATCATTATCAGTACGATTTTCATCATTATTTCTAATGTCAATTTCAATTTCTAATTTCTAAGTTCAATAGATTCTACCTAATCTCAATATTTCCTATATAGTATTGAAGATCAGAGTAATTGAGCAGATAATATATTAACGTCATTTATTGATGACTCCATATCAGCAAGGTATTGCTTCTGTAATTTATTCAATCGGATATCATTTTACATATTAGAGCTTTATTCAAAATTTAGTAAAGGCTTTCTATATTTTCGGATGATTTAACCCCTTATTTTATACCAAACAAAAGTAATTTTCCTGACATAGTTTTTTAGTTAAAAGTTCCACAGCAATTCGGTGAATTTCTAAATAATTAAAATAAAACAAAAATGATATGTACTCCAATTTTTTAAACCATCGATTATATCAAAAATGTTGCAATGAAAAAGTGTTACATATGGACAAAATGAATGGTACTATTGTCTAACTGCAAGACCTCTCTAGACAGAAGGCAAGAAGTATTGTTCAATAATATAATACTTTCATCGGTAAACATGCTCCTAACAATTTTTTCGTAAGTGTGTTCTTCTTAAGAATTTTTCATATTTTAAGAACTCAGAGATGCAATATCTGGGAAAATAGCGCATATAATCCAGTCCAATGATCAATGTCCACTGAAAGTAAAAACTTCTCTTCTTAAATCATGTTGTCCTAACTATATAATACCAAAATGAATTTGTGCACGGTAAAAATGTTAGATGTTTCATGTCTTCATATGTCTTCGATCCACTTTCCTCTACAAATACCTGATGAATGCCATATTGTAGTAATTGCAATAGGTTAAGTTGCTGTGATAGTTGGTCTCGTTGTTCAGGCCACTTAAAACCCAAAGCTTCATTGTGAAACCACAGAATATTGCAATAGATAGTATATAGAAGAATACAACATCACTTTGCATAGTAATTTAGCATAGTAACGTGGTTAAAATCAATTTATCATTCTGCAAAGTTACGATTATGTTTCCTAAATAATTAGATATTTAATCACTTTTGTGGTAATGCATAAGAAATTAAAGAATATGAATTTCTATGGATTTGAGTATTCAATTAGCTCTACCACAGATTTTCAATCTGATTTTTGTAGGAACAAATAGTGTCTTAGAAAAACTAGTGCGTTTTAATTTCTTTTGATCCGTGATTACGCTACATAGACTAATAGCTTTGGGTGTATAGGAAAACTATATTGCTTTAGTTTAGTTACTTGCCCTTATTCGTAATTAATTAGATCAGATTAACTTGTCACTGCATCCCTTGAGGATTATTGTGACAAACCCACTTGAGTTCCATAGACGACTACAAGTTAAAAACGCCAGTATGTCATTTGGAAAGATATTGCCTAATTCCGTTATAAGTGGATAGACAGTTGATAAGTACCGAATTCTAAGTCTGGCGAGACTATCACAGTGGCACAGAATGTGTGCCTCTGCAATTCTTAGAGAAGTAAATGTCTATCAAAACTGAAGGTTTAAAAAAAAAAAGCTTTGAATATTTGAAACAAATCATTCTTTACTTTCTCAATTTGAAACTTTTCCGATTGAGGTTTGACCATTGTTTCATATTTTGTTAAACTGTCACGTCGTTTTAATATTTCTTCAATAAATTAGGCGTAATAGAGTTCTATCCAAAATAATCATGTCTTATATCATTAGTACATAGTATTTCAATTAGCAGTTACAAAAACATACTTTTAAATAAAAAAAAATTGTTTTAAAATATTTTAGGTACTTGGACAATGGTATGAAGTGGAACGATCATTCTACTTGCCAGAAATAGCCTCCGGCTGTACAACATTGGAGTTTCAACCACAAAAACAGGAAGAACTTTCTAAATATAATAATTTCAAATTGGAAGTTGCTATCAAAACCATCAATCGATTGTGAGTATTTAAATAAAGCAAAATAAAATAACATGTATAAGATTTTCCAACTACAGAACTGGAAACCCATCCATTAATCTCGGATATGCAACACCAGAAAGCCGAAAATCATCTATAATGGATTTTAAGGTTAGCAAATTTATTGTATTCTGTTTAATAGAAAAGTTTAATAGAATAAATTGTAATTATAAACATTTATACGGACCGAAATTAATATAAATTTTAATTTTAGTTTAATACACGTTTTCCTGATGTAATTGCACGACTTTTACCTGGTTCCGGAAAGTATCAAGTACTTTATACGGACTATGATAATTTTGCTATATTGTGGTCTTGTGGCAGTCTAGGATCACTCGGTTATTCCGACCAAATGTGGGTGTTTGGTCGTGAACGTGATTTTCCCGTTGAGGTGCGTACCAAAATATATGATACACTGAAAAAGTTAAGTCTGGATCCGGAGAGACTAGTATTAAGTAAAAATAAGGAATGTCCGAAGACCTTATAATAACTGGACCACAACGAAAACGAGCATTTTTACATATATAAGTTTTATATTTTTAGAAGAATTTTATATTTTAAGAAATGTCATATCAGTTCGCATTTATTTTATTATAAAGAATGGGTTTTGATTTCATTGAAGAGAAGAAGAAAAAATTGGCTCATCCAAAGAAAAAATATTTAAGCAAATTTATCTTAAACTGAGTATATTTCCATGTTATTTGTACTCGTCGTTTATTAAGCTTAGGTTTCTGTGATAAAATCGGACATTAAAAATTAATTAAAATATTATTAGTTTATTAAATGCATTAATGATTTGTATAAGCATAAAATAAAAAAAATTAATAAAATATATACATAAATGTAAAATATTATATATATTTAATATTGAACACTGAAGTACTGAGTAAAATCAACTTATGTTAAACTAGTACAGTTTTGCTTCAGGTAAGTTGTTTTTGTAACCCGCTGGGACCTGTTTATGAAGTTTTTTTTTGGTGGTGTTGAACGTTACTTGGTTTTCGCTTTCGACGAGTGGCTTTGGGACGTAGACCCGGCCGTTCAAGGAACCTATACTTACCTAGACCCGGTTCTACGTAAGTAACTGATTTTGACTTAAAAACATTTTTATAATTTTGTCTAAATGCAAGTTAGTCGTAGGTAACTCATAATCCTTGGAATTAGTCTACAAAAATCTTATATCTGTATTATCTGTAGGAATAAAGTAACACTTCCTTTGAGCTTCAAGTAAAATAATGGAGGGTTCCAGAGTTGTCTGTGTAGATCCCAAACTTGGCAAATTTCATCAGTACTTAAAACCGAATAAAAATCTTTTGGGAAGTCCTAGACTATAAAATAAGATTCGAAATCGTCGACTTATAGATTTTTTTTAAAACAGACTTAAACTAAAAACCATCCTCTTTTTTCGAACACTATGATTACCAGAGTCTTTTATTCTTTTAGGTGAACTTAAATAAATTTGGTAACCAATTTGTTTGTAAGTTTTTCAATGGTACCCTAATTGTTCTGAATGGAAACGTGGCACTGGAGCAGAAGTGCATAAAACCAGAATTTCATATGTAGAACTCATGAATAAATATTCACAAATTTTCAAATCAGAAATTCACGCCATCGAAATATATATACACAGACTTTATAATCTATACACAGACTTTATAATATATAATATCATCTACATATTTAATGATATAGGTTTACACGACGCAAACAGTCAAATCAATATTTGAGTAAAGTTCAGACGGGCAGTTAGTATGAGACTGTTTACAGTAATGTAATCAATTAGACAGGAAATTCAGCAAAAGTAATAAGCGAAAAATCTATGATTCCGTTACTAATTATTGCATTCGATTAAACGATGAGCCGTATGAGTTATACTGTGACATAAATAATATTAAACATTTTAAAAATCAGTGGACTCACTATAACGAATCCATTCGGAAAACGAAAACGGCGGAAAACGTGGTAAAGGACGTACGTGTCTTTGGTGGACAGACAGGTGAAAAATGATTTAAAGACACTCGGTTAAACCAATTGGCGATATCAAGGAACTGATCGGGCTGGTTGACTGAGGTTACTGGGCAAGTATGACACACGCTTTTTATGCCCAACTAGGTGAGTGGAGTAGAAACAAGAAACGAGTATCTAGAAATCTAGCAAAACGATTCAAAGTACTTGTTGGAAAAAATTGAAGAATGCTAACCCGAATATTGATAAAAACAGTTTTTGCAGTAATAAGACTGTTACTTGAACCATACTAAGGAAGTATTCTAAACCCACAAAAGTACGCGATTCAGTACAAAAGAAGTTTTGCTGGGTATTTATACACTTTCCAGTTGAGAATATAATAAGTTTGGGGTTTCAGGGTTCAGCAATCATCACTCCCTTTCCTTTTCCTCTACTCTATAATATTTTATACTAATCGGATTAAATTCGAAATGTTTCTTCTGATGAAAAAACGGATATAGACCTTTTAGATTGCAGTTGCTACTTTAGATTTTAATAATAAAAATAAAAATAATAATGACAAACCAAAACAAAACCGTAGCTGCAATTGGTGATTTTTTCAAGTTTTGTATATATAACTGGGACTACGACGTTCTAATTATTTAAAAGTACAATATATTAGAATGTAAATAAGTTTATTTTATTTTCCATATTATTAATATACTTTATTCTTATATATTAAAGTATATATTATGTATTGATATTTAATATATTTTATAAATCTACATGCATATCACTATTACAAATTTATTTATATAGATATACGATAATCCACCTATATACATATATTGAAATTAATAGCTAATTGTGCTAAAAGGTTCTGAATGTGGTGTTAATAGTTCTACGCTCTCAAATTTTGAATAAATTTAACACATTCTAACTGGTTACCAATTTCTATCTAGTAATCCACAAAACTCTCTTGAAACGGTATGGATGTGATAACGTTTTCTAATTTAGTTTAGTCGTTGAATGAATGAGAATTGCTTAAGACGTTCCTAAAAATTAAAGAAATGTATTTGTTTCGGAATATTAGTCTTTTAATATTAATTCTGGCTGTAGTAGAAGTATTTGCGAGAGGTGGTGGAGGCGGAGGCGGCGGTCATGGCGGTGGTGGTGGTCACGGAGGCGGTCATGGAGGTTTTGGTGGTGGCCGAGGAGGGTTTGGAGGTGGCCGTGGAGGCTTTGGAGGTGGCCGTGGAGGCTTTGGAGGTGGCCGTGGAGGCTTTGGAGGTGGTCGTGGTGGATATGGAGGTGTTCATGGAGGTTTTATTAATAAAATAATTACATTGTGAAGTAAATCTTAAATTATACTTTTTTATAGGATTTGTTGGAGGTGGTTTCTCACATGACCTTTTACAGACTTAAGTTTCTTTTATAAAATATTGATTTATTTTTAAGGTTACGGCGGAAGAGGTGGATATGGACGAGGTCATATTGGTGGATTTGGTGGAATTCCTATAGTTTATCGCAGACCTTATTATAGTTATTTTCCTATTCCAATTCCAATATCTAGACCTTATTATGATGATTATGACTATTATTAAAATTGGAAAATATAGTAAAAATCATAGGTGATGCAGAAATACAGATTTCAGTGAAATGTAAAAAATTTGAATTTTGTTTATCAATTATTTTCTTATTGCTAATTAATTTATTTATGCAAACAAATTTAATATTTTGCGCAGTTGTGCCAATTATTAAATTTTTGTTTAATGTACTTAATATTTATTTAAATACAATTAAATTAATTATTTTTTTGTTTGATTAGATTAAAACTGATCCTGCAAAAATAACTTCTATTTTTTGTTCAAGTATAATTTATTGAAACTTTATTGTTTATAAGTTTTATATTACAAACAAAACTACAAATAATATTTATAAAATCATTATTTCTTAATTACAATTTTGTTTTACTTATATTTTAATATTAAACTTTATTATAAATGTTACATTTCTAAATAATTTTATAAATAATCTTTAAGAAAATAAATCACTAAAATTTTTGTTTTGGAGACTAGAATATGTTCAGATGATATTTCGTTATTAGTTTTTAATATTTTTTAGTTAAGAAATATTTCATTTTATTTTATACAAATAGAACGCAATATAAAATGTTTGTAGTCTTTCTAATCGTTGATCGGATGACTGTATATGATATACACATGAAATGCTGTGGCAGCTTTCGTTTCAATTATGCAGTGTTATAAAGGATATTAATTCTTTAAAGAACAACTTCTCTGGAACACACTGATTTTGTATACATATTTTTTTCAATTTCTTATTAACAAATCTTTAAAATGCCTTACTTATGTGTTAAATTATTGTACGTGCAATTCCATTACAGTTTAGTTATAAAAGTAATATCTTCACATAAATAAACTTATATAGAAACACTCTATTATTCACTCTTTGTTTACTATATATTAAGCGTGACTATTTGACTTGCTTGTTTTTCAAACTACATCATAGTTTTGCACTCGTACTCTACAATGCTGTGTTGTATGCAGTGATTGACCTCAGCAAAACTTGGACGCTCATTTGGTTTTCGATTCCAGCAACGTCGCATCAATGCATAAACGGAGAGTGGCGTGTTGTCTGGACAACTAAGCACATTACCATCCTTAATGAATTTAATAACTTCTTCATGTGTTATGCCAAAATATGGTTGCAATGCAAAGGAGAAAATCTCCCATAGACAAATACCATATGCCCATATATCTGATTCAATCGAGAATTTGTTATACAATATACTCTCCAAAGGCATCCAGCGTATTGGTATTACATCATTTTCGTCACCTTTATAATAGTCTTGCATATAAATCTTATGTGACAGACCGAAGTCAGCAATTTTTACTATCATTTCCTCGTTGATTAAGCAGTTCCGTGTCGCCAAGTCACGATGCACAAATTTTCGTTCCGAAAGATATACCATACCAGCAGCTATTTGTGCCGCAATTTGTAACAAGTGACCTTCGTTAAGTTCACGCCGATTTAATGGTTGTATTTGATGCGTAGCATATGGTGAGCAGGAGCGTAAAAATTCACTTAAATCACCAGGTGACATAAATTCAAAAAGTAAACACATTGGTCTTCCTAGAGCGCAAACGCCTAATAACTTTACAATATTGGAATGATCGAATTCAGCAAGTAAGCAAGCTTCACGCTCAAAATCCATTTGCATTTGATCACTAGCATCGTCCTTAAGCATCTTAACAGCAACCAGTAAATCGTCATTTCCAGGTACCAAACCGGGAGCTTTTGCCTGTAAGACAAATATTAAAATCAATAAATTATTACGATCAAAATAAAATTTGCTAAATACTTAGAATACGAAAATGAAAGAAGAAACAATAAATTTAAATTCTACCAGCAAATATTATATTAAAAGCAAAAATTTGAAAAATATCAAGCCTAAATATATCGAGTTGATGAAATGCCAGGCTAGACCTAATAAAAATTTAAAAACTTAAATTTGAAAATTTTTATGCATTTGTATACCCACACCGTATAGTTTCTATCTTCATGACACTCTCTTGCAATTGTAAAATTACCTAAAAGTGAACTTTGAAGATAAAATCTTAAATTTTAAATGAAGAAATAATGGAAAATTGACAATTTTTGTGCTTTTCACTAGAAAATGCCAAATACTTTTTGACCAATCTCAACATATATACATTTCAATATATATATGCATACTTTTAAACAGCGGGAGTTAAGTTCTGCATTAATATAAATATAATATTTATTTGGCATTAATTTGTATAATTTTGTCTCTAATCCAATGGTTAAATTTTTTTTTATCAATGGATAAAAGTCTATAAAAAAGTATCACATGAAAAGACAATTATCTAAGTTAAGAAAGGTTCAAAATATACCACGACACTACACAGTATCCATAGTAATGTTATTAAATATCTGAACTGTGCATAAACGTTGAGGGTAAATATTTTGAACAAAAATTCTACTAAATTTCTAAAGTTAATTTTAATGCACGGTAAGCAGGTCTTAACTTAATGCACGGTACGCAGATCTTAGATCTGTCATTGAACAGTCACGAAGATTATGAGGAATATTCAAATTAGTCAGTGACCCAGATGGCTGGGACTCTGCAGAAACTCCCCAGCTATCAAAGAGTAATAGTGCTCAAATGCATTAGTTCGGAAAAGGTTCAACATCACTTTACTTACTTGAAAAACTCTACCAAAAGCACCCTGACCTAAGGAACGCACATAAACAATGTCCCCACGTGGATACTCCAATTTTTCCAATTTTGTATTCAATTTCGTCTTTGCCTCATTAGTGCTGTGTATTGTTGCAGTACTGCGTATTGTTCCACACTTCAAATTCACAGCAGCATTGGAAGATTCAATTGTTTCTCTGCTATCATTTAGGTTGCATTCTCCTCTCGTCGATACATTACATTCGGAAGTAAGTGTTGGTTGTTGTTGTTGCTGTTGGTTGAACTCCTTATGTTTAGAGATTTTATGGACAAGTAATATGATTAAATGGAGTGCAACTATGCCAATAAAACCAATTCCAGCCAATAAGAAAATCATTGATGGCGTAAAAAATGTTTCCATCTTAATGGGTGTATTGAAATCTTTGTTCAGTGCATCGATATAATCAGCTAAAAACAAATATATTAAAAATTAATAAATATTTATGGATTAACATACGACTTACGACACAAAGGAATATCACAATGTTGCCAACGCACAGATTCATCTGTTGTATAACACCAAGGATAGGGTTCTTCTGCTCCAGCATTACGACAATAGTTTTCACCTTCAGCGATTTGTGGAAAAACTTGTGGCGGTTGTATGTGCTTATGTGGATGTTGCACATCCCAACGTTGACAAGGTATGCCCGTTTTTGTTACATTCATTGTACCAAGATAATAACGGCCATTACCATTGCGGCAATCGTCTATAGTTAACAAATGAGTTTAGTTGTAATCTTTGGAATTTTTAAGTATTATTGCTTAATATACTTACAGCTTACTTCATTATCCTTGATTTCAGTCAAGCCAATATAAGAACAGTTCGGTTTTCTGGCAGTGGCATTATGCTTTGGTAAAACAGCACAATTTGGTAAACGGAAATGTCCTCTGCTCTTAATAAAGATATTACGTTCTTTTTTCTCCTCTATCAATACCCAATCATTGTAGCAATATTGTAGATGCGTCGCTGTGCAATCTTCATAACAAAGCGGAACTTTAATAGTGCGTCCATTCTCAACGAAACAACGCGGGAATGCGTAAGCACACAGCATTTTCTGGAAATATATTAATATTGTTAATAAGAAACTATATACTATATAGTCTATTTGTATAAATTGTAAGAATTTACTTACTTCAGCAGCATGTCTGCATAGGCCGGTTAATTCAGTAATTAACTCTTCCCACAAGCCCGTAGTGATTTGTTCGTTTTTCCACCCACCATTTGGATCCTCACGACTATACCACACTTGTCCGCTTATGTGATGCTTACATATCTTACCATTGTACGGTGCACAGTAGCCCTTTTCTTCATGTCCCCACGCATTTTCATGTTCAGAGTGTCTTCGATGATGCCTACCTGGTAGTTCTATTTCGGCTTTTAGATAATTTTCGGCATTGACACCGGTTGAGGATAAAAATACACACACCAAAACAGAAATCAAATAAAAACAAAATTTTCTCCTTCTTAACATTTCAATTTTGTTTTAAGGAAGCAAAAAATCTAATTTCTTCCCTTACGCTTCTCTTGCGCTAACTTTTGGAAGTATTTTTATTAACACAAATGCTGAGAAGATTAGGACTTTTAGCTGATATTGAATATATTATAAAACCACTAAATAATATTTAACACTTTTTATGGCAACACAATAATTATTTTATCCATTTATAAACAATTTTTTTGTTTGTTAGCAGGAGATAAAATATTTTTACTTCTAACTCCGTCGACGCCTTTTGCACAACGACAGGATATGAGCGCTTATGAAACTTAACTATTTTAGGGGTGAGTTTGAGATTGAGAGTACAGGGTTGTTTTTGCCCACTGACTTTCAACTCCTTTGCACCTTTTAATAATAAATGATAAGTTACTATATATATGTATAAAAATATTAAATGATAATATTTAATCAGATGATTTTTTTTCACATTTAATATTCTAAAAAATAATAATAAAAATATTTAGTTTTGTTAAATTTAATTTATTTTAAATTTCCAATCATAATTATAATTATATTGAATTTTACTAATGCGTATATATCATTTATTTCTCTTCTTCATCACCAATTACTTCCAAACCCTAAAACGAAATAGAAAAAAAAATTATTTAAGATGATTTTAGGACTAACTTATAGGTGATAAACTAAAAGAACTTATATATCATCATTATACAACAAATTTTTATACTGACCTAGCCAATATAATACTTAAATACTAAAATGTTATAAATACATCGATATTCAAAATTAATAGTTTAAAATTTAATGACATCTTCTTTAAGATTAAACCCTCTTTAAACCAAAACACACATTATAAATAGTAATAATTACAGTTGCATGAAATATAATTAATTTAAATATAAATTATTATAAATAATAAAAACATTATTACTATAAGTGGTAATAAATACATTTAAATAAAATATAATTATAATGCATATTTTAAAAGTTCTTATAAGGATCTTATATGTCGTATACATTTTATACAACAAAATAGAATTTAACTTTATTAGATTTTGATTAGATGTCCATAGTAGTCTTAGTGATACAGTTACGCTTTTTTTATAGCTTTACTTTATAATAACACTTCAAGTTTTGCTCAAATAGAGCATTAATATGTCCACAATCTAAAGCTTATTGGCATTAACAAAACTTAGCAGTAATTCTTTTTAACTCTAATATATCTAGTTGAAGTTTATATGGTGGCTGTACTTAAAGTATTTGCTGCTGTCCTTCTCTGCTAAGTGAAGCATAGGGACTCCACTTAAATTCAAAATAATTAAATTATTTAATAAATTCAAGTACTTTAAGATAAATAAATTCAAAATAAAACTGATGTTAAGCTGACTCTACAAATTTTTGGACCATTTACAAGTATTTTCAAGTACTTGGAAAAGCTACATAAAAACTCTATTAAAAACTAAAACTAAAGAACCGAATATGGACTTGTTTGATATATAAAAAAAAAATAAAATAAAATTAAAAAATAAAATAAAATTAAAAAATAATTAATAACAATGTAACGTGCTTGTACACAACATTTTACTAAGACAGAAAAACTTACTTCTACACTTGACCTTCCTATTTCCAAAATATTAATCGGCCCAGTTAAAAGTTAATAACCAGAAAATACAACAATTAGCTTGCTTATAAACCATTTATTATTGTTAGAAGATATAATAGATTCATTCTGCTTTTTCTAGTCTGAAGAACTGTGAAGAGACTCTCGTAAGCAAAATTGGACAAATCAACTAACTGGAATTAACTGCTCTAATATACCAGTATCTCTTGATTTAAAGTTCAAAACCTTTTTGGTTCGATGAAATTTTTGGTTCCGTTTTCTGATAATTGTAAGACTTGGGTAGATAAGACCCACGTAAGTTTCATTTATATTTTCCAGAATCTGCAAGTGTCAATGACCTTTTATCATTTAAAATATGTTAAGTACGTTTTTGTTAAAAAAGTTTTAGTAACTAATATGAGCCTAAATAAATTATAACTGTATGAGCCTTTGGTCTTTGGTATTGGGTTCTTATAAAGCTATACTAAAAAGCCCGAATCTATTTAAACGAAACTCATAGTGTGATAATATCTTATTATATACAATCTAACATAGAGTTATAGACACTGTTATATGGACACTGTTATTTAATATACATTATTTTACAGTTAATTAAAAAAAAGGAGAGATTCAATATATAAAAGAATAAAAACAACTATTTTAATGTTTGGAAGTTTTCTGAATAAAGATTATTTGAACATGAACTATAAAAGTATTTGTAGATTATTAAATTTATAAATATATCCATAATTATCCATATATCCATAATTAAAAGCTCTATCAGAGAAAAATATTAAGCGCCGTTTGCATTTATAGGAGCTTCAATTTTTATTATATATACTAAAATCATTATGTTATACGAATTCAAAACAGAGAGAGATATAGAAATTGCTGATATCAGAAAAATTTCACTATCAGAAAATGAAGCAAGGTGTTATTTGTTTATTATTAGTAAATAATTTTCTACAGAACAATCAAATAACTAATTTAGAATATTTTGAATAAGAACAATACAAAGCAATAATGTAGAGAAACAGATGTTGCAAGATTCATATATGATAAGGATTATTTTTTAAAAAAATTATATTAGACAAGGTAGAACAGACATATGCGTAATTAAAATTAAATCATTATGCGTGACATTTAAAAACATTTAGTATATTTCTAAGCAAATTAACAAAACTCCAGAAAAATTTTGGAAAATAAAAGGCAAGTACGGCTTTAGGTCAGTTGGTTAATGAACACTGACTCTGAGCATCAAATTTGAAAGGGTATGATTAGTTCAACTCTTGGTACTTGCAGCCTCAAAAAATTATTTACGAATAATTAAATACAAAAATTATTTCCAAGACCACTGATAATGGATAATGGGTATGGTCAGGCAAAAATTCAATGTATTAAAATAATATATAAACAATTTTTGTTATTGTGGTTCATAATATTTTTATTATGTAAGTAGGTATATGTGCAACCGGCTTCTTTTATTTGAAACCCGACACAACTAAACTAAAAAGATAGATTATAATATGATGTCGTTCTAGTGGGAATCTAATTAAATGAAGTCGTGAAGGTTAAAATTTCAATGCTGTGCATTTCTGCAGCGAATTTTTTGTTATTATTCCTACCTAAGGACATTAGCATACTCTAGATGATTACATAGAATGCAATCATTTGAAATGTATGTTTGTTAATTACTTATTTGGTTTTAGCTCAATTTTTAAATTCTAATATTTTCACCCTTCGTCCGATTAATCAATATAACACAAAAAAAAAATTGTTTTATATAAGTTAACCTCTCTGTAACAGATCGTGTATATAAAAACTTAAATAGATCACCTTTAATACTTACATTATGTTTGTATGGGTTGTTCGTTAGTCGATAATCTCGTGAATACATATGACGTTCGAAGCGCTCGTCCATGTTTCGTCGATAACCCTAGAGAAAAGAACATTATTTAATACAATCGGGCCAAGTGAATTAAAGAAATATATTTGTGTAGTGATAATTTATAATATTAATTAAAATTGAAAACAATTAATTAATATAAAAACATAAGCAAATCAATATGTTATTATGTAAGAAGTGTAGACACTTTCGTAGTTTGCGTCCAAAACGTACATTTCCAAATACCAATTTATTTAAACCATACATTGCATATGTAGGCAACGCCATGGCTCCAACAATAATGGCAAAAGAAGGTATAATTTCAAACCACATAATTGAATATCTTTAACTTGTTAATAATTTATTTCACTTCTTCTAAACGAATTGTCCCAAAAAAATATCTTTGACAACTAACACTAACAGCTGTTAATACAGTCGCGTTGCCAACATAACAGAATTGATTGAAACTAAAAATTTGATAGCACTGAAATTTGACTTTTTGTGTAATGCAATGTTGTATTTGAAGAGCAAAACAATTTTTATATGTATGTAATATAAACTATCGTATTGAAATTGAAAACAATAATACAATTATTACTGAAACCTGGAGGTCTATTCCGTAGCTGTGTAAACTGAAGTGTACACAAAAATTTGCTTTCATTTTGGTTTTGCTGATTAGTGAGTTCATATGTCAAAAAGTGTACACTTTTCTCAAATATTATTCACCGTATATTTGGCCGTGAATTTAAAAAAAAAAAACAAGAAATTTTGTTCAAAATTTAATATAAACTTGTATTATTATTTTTTTATTGGTTTTAAAAATGGAAAATAGTAAAAAGTAAGCAAAAGGAGCAAAAGTTTGTTATTAAATATCAACTGTAAAAAACTGTAAAACTGTAACTGTAAAAAAATTATGAAAATATAATATAAAAATTTTTAATATAATTATTATTATAAAATTGCATTATAATTAGTAAAATATCTGCCACTTTGTTTACTTATTCATTTTCAATAACTGAGTTTATTCATTGTAAATACAAATTTCTACACTGAGAACTGCCAAAAATGCATTCAGCACGTCATAATTTTACATTCAGCACGAAAAACTCACTAGAACTTGGGGAATACCATTTTACAAGAAAGTGTAAACTGTGGTGAGAAATGAGTTTTTCGTTTGTGTATACAAAAAAAACACACAATATAAAAAATGCTTTTAAGTCAAAAATAGCTGAGTTAATTGTTTATGTTTTGTACTTCTAAGTACATTTTAATAGTTTAACAAACTATGGAAAAAATATAGTTTTAGAATCAACAAAACAGTACGGATCACAAGTAAAAGTAATTGGCAACGTGTTATATGTATCAGCAATTTTTTTATTAAGGGGCATGTTAAGATTGCAATCACGTCCCGGCAATTGTTGTTGCTTTTAATGCAAAATGAAGTGAATTGTCAATATCACATTTACATTTTGCTTCGAAGACAACAATTTCAGTGGCGTGACTGCAATCATAACATACCCATTATCTGTATACACAATTATAATTTAAAAAATGATATGCTAAGCACAAATTCACGCAAAATGTTTAAAAATTTATATGTAAGGTTTGGTTTTTCACACATTTCAGTATTAAGTATGAAGAGTTTAGTAAATAAGTTAATATTATAGGCCATTTCCACTACGTACTTAGCAAGCTTATCGCACTGAGTAAATTTCATTTACCATACAAATAGCTTCTGTGCTTTTTTACTTACTATAGCATATAGTAAGCAAAATTCGACCAAAATTATACCAAAAATGACGAATGCAACATTGGAAATTATCGGAATTTGAAACATTTGACACATGAAACAAACCATAAACAAACACTCAAAATTCAAAACTAACATTCTAACAATACAAAATTTAATGTCATCTGCTAACAATTAAAATGTAAAAAAACAAAAGCTCTAAAACTAGAACTTTTTGACACATAAAAGCTCTTTCTCATTTCTTAAGTAACTTATTGACACATAAAAGCTCTTTTCCATAACGACCAAAAGCTCAATGTTACTATATGGCTTACTAAGTACGTAGTGGAAACGTAGTATTACAGATATTAATTGTGCCATAAAGTAAAAACATAAGATCATTTGTTGGTTGTTTTTTATTATTATTGGATTATATTATCATAGTTATTTTGCTTATTGTAATACACAATATATATACAATTTTACTTATAATAGTTTATTTACATGCTATAACAATAATTTTGTTTAAAAGTATGCCACGTCAAGTAATTGGATTCTCTTCTTCACAAAATCAAATAAAGATTTTAATCCGATTTTGTAGAAAAGTCAGATAGTCTTTGCACCATTAAATTTTCGTTTGAAGAAAACTAAATATATTCTTTCTAAAATTAATATTAAAATAGTATTTATAATAATACAATTATATAACAATTTTGTAAATAATTCTTATAAACTGTAACAAAATAAAATAAAATAAAATATTGTTGCAACTTTTAGCCTTTTCAATTATGAGCGACACTGCGAAAAGAGATGTGAAAAACAATTTAAAGATAAAATTCAAATTTACTGTTTTGCGGGCTTTTTTCCAAAACAAGCGAACAAGCAATTTTACAATCAAAATTACAATTCAAATTGTCTGAATATCTGAATGAATATAATTACAAAACTATTTTTTATTACATTTATACTGTCTTAATAAATTCTTCAAATTTATAGTAATAAACTTAAAATTTCACATAAACCCCATAAAAATATCTAACAACGTTGATCGATAAAGCATGATAAAGACTGGGACTGTCCAAAAGCACGGCTTGCGTAATGTTTGTGCGGCCCGCAAAATGTTTTTAACCTACTGCAATTACGTGAATTTTCTTTTGGTGTACTGGTAAAACCAATTTATGAATTTAAATCGATAAATAAATTAATAAAACTAAATTTAATATTATAACCGTATTTTTATTTTCATCAAAAACAACTATTTGACGTATGTATTTGTTTCTACGGCCCCTCTATCAATACAAGGAGTTGTGTTGGCCCATTGCAATACTTCTATTTATTGTAATAAATTAATACGGGCTTAAACAGGTTAAAGTGTAATCATAAATATTTTAGTGTAATTTGAATTTCATATGAATTGCTCCTATTTGGAAACATCATATAATTTTAGTGCTTATAAGAAAACGATTGCCACAGCAACACTGCTTCTTATATGACAACCTCAGCACTGACAATCGTCTTGTCATTGCTCATCGAAAAGCTTGTGAATGACTTTGGAAATTTATAATTATTTTTGTTTTACTGCTAAAATAAATTGTTTGTGTTAATATTCGAATCTTTGATAGTAGAAGTGTTTAAATGTTGCAAATTATTTAAAATTTATAGAGGAGAACTATTGTTTTGGGCAAAATATCAATTTAGTAAAAAAGTCTTCCACGAAATCGCCAACTCTACACTCTGTCAGCGCAATGAGTTCAGCAACCGGTATTATTGATGGCAACTTTCCTGCCGGCGCTCTTGTGCCCAAGGCTGAAACAGGCGTCGTAAATTTTTTACAAAAATATCCAAACTATGATGGAAAAGATGTAACAATTGCTATATTTGACTCAGGCGTTGATCCGCAAGCTTGCGGACTACAGGTAAAATTATCTTATCTTTGGTATTAAAAGTAACTGTGATTTTATTGTTTCTATTTTTTTCAGACGCTGGTAAACGGTAAATCCGTTAAAGTAATTGAGCGCTATGATTGCACAGGGTGTGGCGATTTAGATACCGCAACAAAAGTAACGGCAGATGAAAAAGGTTATATAGTAGGGCTCTCTGGCCGGAAACTTAAGGTAAGCATTAACATTATATTTTAAATAAAAAATGTTATACATAAATTTAGCTTACGTGTATGTAATTATTGCTGCATATAAAGATAAAAAAAAAAAATACTGTTTATTGCTTACTAAAGCAGAAGTGTAAAGTGATCAGATTGCATTACTTAGACAAACAAAAAAAAAACAGATGTCGATAGCAAATATATATCATAACAGTAACTTGGATTTATATAGTCTGTTTCTGAGTATCTTTTCTATAAATAAAATATTTGATTTATTTAATTACTCAATGTGGAAAAATTATTGTATATAAACAAATGAAATATTTTTTATTCGGATTACGGTATTCATTTTAAATTCGAGGAAAAGTGTTTTATATGTTTATATATATTTTAACAGAAACTTGATAAAAATTGCGCTATTACAATGATGCACTATTTATTAAATTAATTTATAAATTTAATGACACATTCATATGATATATGATTAATTGAATAAGCAAATACTAAACAAAGCGTATGCACAAATTAAAGATACATACGTAGATACTTATGCGGCTACTAAAAATATATATTAATAAACTATATAGAATGTATTCGTATTATCGATCTTCTGCAAGTGACTTTTAAAGCAAGATGGAAACCCCATTGGAACTTAAATAATAATTCCAAGTTATTGAAAGATAGGTCTGTTTTTAAAAAGCATAATAAATATCCTTCAATCGGAAGATGATATACAAATTCTACTTGATAGATTCGTCTGTCCGAGTTAATCAAAGATATATATAGGTTTATTAAACAGTTTGTTCTTGATGTCTTATATAAAGAGTATAAATAGTAAATATATAATATAAAGTAGTTTTCTTCTTTAATTAATTTAAACGTGTAATTGCAGCTTACATCTGACATGATATCTGCAAACACTGCCAAAGGAGAGTATCGCGTGGGCTTAAAGGCTGTGCATGATTTATGTCCTGCAAAAATTAGAGAGAACATGATGACCGCCCTTAAACGTAAAACGTTTGATGTGGAAAATAAATCAGCAATTGCCGATATATCTAGAAAAATTAATGAATTCGATACAGAAAATACAAGTGAGTTTTAAAATAATTGTTATATATATCTATATATATGTTTGGTTTTAGATGCTTCGAAGTTGACGTGGGATAAGAAGTTAGTTAAAGAGAATCTTGATGCTACTTTGGAGCTGTTAAATGGTTATGATAAACTATTCATAGATATTAGATTGTGCTATGATTGTGTGCTTTACCCTACAGAGAACGGTTGGAGGGCAGCTATTGATACAACCGAAAAAGTATTTTATCTAATAAAGTTAAATATCATTTTATTTTTATAAAAAAAATTGATTACAGGGTGATTTAGAAAACGCGGTGCATATTGGCGAATATACAAAAACTCATGAAATGAAAAATTTAAATGAATATTTGTCTGTTTCAATAAATGTACATGATAACGGTGACGTTTTGGAAATAGTTGGCATGAGTTGTAAGTCATAAACTTTATTAAAATATTGTAAAAGATAACATTAATTTCTTTTTATTGTGTTTAAGCTTCTCATGGTACGCATGTGGCTTCCATTGCTAGTGGCAGTCATTCATGCAATGATGTCAACGGTGTTGCCCCAAATGCTAAAATTGTTTCGTTAACTATCGGCGATGGTCGTCTTTCATCAATGGAGACTGGTACTGCTCTTGCACGTGCCATGATGAAAGTTATGGAAATGTGTAGTACAGGACGTAAAATTGATGTTATAAATATGAGTTATGGTGAACATTCTCATTGGACCAATTCGGGGTAAGTTATAAATACTTTTTATTCTATTAGTTTTTACGTCGATTATATTGCTATTTAAAAGTTTTTGTAGTGAAGAAATGGATAAAAAGAAAAGAAAGAAAAGGATTTGTCGTATGAGGTATACATTTAATTGTGATACATTGATTGTAATTGTATTTAACTGAAAATATGACATAACAGAACTCTTTTTTCAATTACATTCTAAGACATTTTAAATTAACAGAATGTCTTATAATTATTTTATATGTATTAGTAGTAAAATGTATTATTAGTAATTTTATTTTGAATATTAACTGATATATTTCTCTATCCTGTCGTGGTTCTATTTTATTTAAAACTATCTGGTCTTAAATATATTAATCATAATTATTCAGGACCTAATTAAAAATCAAAACCAAACGTTATAACTCTGCTTACCGTCTTCTTATTTAGATGATCGGCTAATGTTCTTCAAAATTTTTAATACTTTTAAAAATATTTGTATACATAAAAAGTTTAAATATAGCACTTCGTCTGTGGTCAATATCGTTGTAATTATCGATACAATTAGAAGTGCCATACTTGTAGATATGTATAGAAGACGTCTATTAATCATAGTCTGATAAAATTATTTTACATTCAGTAGGAAGCTTTAAGTGTCTACATGTAACCAGCAGGCAAATTGATTTTTATTGATTTTTATATATTAGATGTAGAGTTTTTACCACTTAAATAAATTTATTTAATAAAGTAAAATGATTGAAAAAATAATCGCAGGCGTCATTTCTATTTCTAACTTCCGCAAATCATTCATTTAATGTAGAGTTTTTTAACTTTTTCTTTCTTAAGCAATGATGCATTTCCTTATTCTATCCAATTCGTTGCATGCACCACACACTTTATCACTTCATATACACGTCGATATAATATATTTACTTAATGCCAAAGTGAGATCACAATCGTTGTGTAATTCACTTTTTTTGTAAAATACTAATATGAACTTTTTAATACAGCATTTGAATTTTGTTTTAATCTATTTTTAATATATTCTATTTTATTTTAGTCGTATTGGAGAATTAATGAGTGAGGTTTCTAACAAGTATGGCGTAGTTTGGGTTGTATCAGCTGGTAATCATGGACCTGCTTTGGGTACAGTTGGAACTCCACCTGACATAAGCCAACCCTGTTGCATTGGTAAGTGAATTATGACGTTGACATCTCACAAACTGAGATAATAATATATGCGAATTGCAGAGTAATTGCAAATTTTTTAATCGTTATAAATTGTCACATGACATCATAAACGTATTTAATAAATCATTATTTTATTGCCTTCAATAACAATCAAGTTTAGTCAGCTTTATAAATTTAAGCAAACTGAAATATTATTAATATTCATATTTATTATTTGCATATGCAAAAATATAATCTAATAACGCATGTAGTATACGTCAAATCCATTTTTAGTGCTTTATTAATTAAGTACTTAAAATTTAATGACATCGGTTTTAGTTAATATATTCAGAGTAAATAAATATTAATTTCAGCTTATACGATATTCATTTAGTTCATGCATGACATATTTATATATACTAATTTTAAATCATATAAATTTGTGTCGTATTAAGTTAAGTTAATAAGCTTAGAATATATACAGTGAGAGTTCTGATAAATGGACATATATTGATATCTTTTTAACAGTATAATGTTGTAAGTCTCCAGTTTTCAATTATCATACAAAGCACGTTAGTTTTAATAGATAGTTTTGTCAGCTAGAAATAATTGCTAGTGACTTCCGTTCTAATAACGCACTCTATCCAATTAGATTATGCATTCCATAGTTACCATATGGAATTTTAAAATTGTAAAATGTGATTTAAGTAATGAACCAATTTGCTAGCTAAATAGTTTTTACTTTTATGAATGCATTGAATGAGATATAGCACTTTAAGATCTATTTTGCCCATTTTGGATCTAACTATTGTGACACAAGAGCAGTGTAAATAGACATGTAAATACGTATTGTACGTATTGTAAATACCATAGTAAACAAACGAATCAATTGCGAATTACCGAATATTCGAATTTAATGCAAGCTTATATGCTTTTGTTCGAATAACCTCTCTCGTTTTCAACTCCCTCTCTTATTTCTGTCTATTGTATACAGTCTTTTAAATCCATTTTATATTTAAATATTATTTAATTTTTTAATTATTGGTATATGTTAGTGTTGAGGTGTAGCAATTTGTTTCTGCCATGCATTTAAATTGGTTTGATGAAAAACTGATAGATAAATCTCTTACAATATAAAATGAGCATTTGTTAAAATTCCTGTTTGGCTTGATTTTTATGTTAGTTTGTTATCGAGATTTGAACATAAGTATTTATGTATAGACGTGCGGTACTGTGAATTTTGATTTTCCAATCAGTAGTCTAATGGCCAAATTTTAAGAATCTGGCAGCAACGAGCGACTGTGGGCTATAATAGAACAAAAGCCAATTGATAAACAAATCGTAAAAAGAAAGTATAGGTGGTTGGGTCACACTCTACGCAAACTTTTTAGCGATATCACACATACCGCTGTATTATAAAATCCTCAACAAAACAGAAATCGCGGTCCACAAAGGACTACGTGGAGAAGGACAATAAACAGAGAGTCGTGCAAATCTTTCAGTGAACTAAGAGCTATAGCGCGTGATAGAAAGAATTGGAAATCTTTTGTGATTAGACTAACTTCTTGAATTTATATTTTTGAACATGTCAATAATAATAATAATAATAATAGTCCAACGGCTGATATTGTTGAGTACTATTTGCAGTTTATCTGTGACTGTTTCCTGTGTATTTCCATATGGCATTATTACTATCTGATCAGCAAATTACTCTCTCTTTCTCTATCTGTACCGAAAGAACCTTTAATTAAAGAGATAGGTTTCTAAGCATATTTCTCTATACATTGCCCCAAATATTCTTTTTGTCAAGTAGACTCAAATAGTTGGTCATGTTTTCTTATATATAATAATTATACTTCTCTTATACATAAAACTTAAATGAATAAATTTTTCTTTAATTAAACATTTAAGATGTAAGTAAAATAATACAATACGATTTAATTATTTTAGATGTTTTAGATTCTTACTAAAAAATCAGTATGAGAAACATCTGTTTTTAATTTGATTATATCATAAATAGAACTATTATACAAATAATCATATCAATTACTCTGTACACTCCTATAATACTGTGAAGTACTTGGTTTTATAAAAAAAGTTTAGTTAGCAAATATTGTAATAATAAAATTTATTTACGTACAGGTGTTGGTGCTTACGTTTCTCCTCAAATGATGGAAGCCGAATATGTTTTACGGGAAAAATTGCCAGCTAACGTTTATACTTGGACATCTCGTGATCCTTGCATTGATGGTGGTCAAGGTGTAACTGTTTGTGCACCTGGTGGTGCTATAACTTCTGTGCCGCAATTTACCATGTGCAAATCGCAACTGATGAACGGAACCAGTATGGCTGCACCGCATGTTGCTGGAGCAGTTGGTATATATATATTTTTTATTTGTTGTCTAACTTTTATATATTTTATTCATTTTCTTTATACATTTATCTCCTTTAGGTTTGTTAATATCTGGTTTAAAGCAAAAAAATATCGCTTACACGCCATTCAGTATTAAGCGTGCTATAACCGCAACTGCTACGAAACTTAGTTATGTAGATCCATTCGCACAAGGAAGTGGTTTACTAAATGTCGAAAAAGCTTTTGATCATTTAATTGAACATGCAAATGCTCCTGAAAATATGATTAGGTAATTATCAAATACAAATGTATTTTTATAGTTGTTTATATGATCTTAATTAATTTTAATTAATTAAATTATTTTTTTATTAGATTTTCAGTTCGTTGTGGTGTGGAGGGCGCGAAAGGTATTCATGTAAGAAATTCAGTATTAAATCGAGTTCTGGAATACAAGGTTAATGTCGAACCAAAATATTTTAATGAAGCAGATGCTAGTAAGTATTATTAAGACAGAACTAAAACTGTTGTTATACTTTATATATTTTTCTTAATCCTATTCATTGCAGATCCTACAGATAAAATTAATTTCAATATGCGTTTAAATTTATTGTCTTCTCAGCCATTTGTGAAATGTGGTGCTTATCTAGATATGAGTTATACACTACGAACCATACCGGTAACAATTGATCCTTCAGGTTTACCGCCTGGTGTTCACACTGCAGTGTAAGTGTACAATTTGTGAACTATTATGTATATTTAGAAATATTTATTTATACTTTTTACTTTCAGTATTCGTGCTTATGATTCCAGTTGTGTACAAAAAGGCTCTGTATTTGAAATCCCAATAACGCTTGTACAACCTCATGTCATGAACTGTGAAGAGAGTCGTATTTTTGAGCCAAGCGGATGTAAAACAGATGCTGGCATTGAGTTTCAACCAAATACTATTCAGAGAGATTTTATATTAGTACCAAAAAATGCAACTTGGGCAGGTAATATAACGATCTAACGAACTTTAAATTAAATTTTAATTATTTTTCTTATTTTTAATTCGTTAAGTGTTGCGTATGCGCACAGTTGATATGAAGCGAGATGATGAGATAGGAAAATTTTTTATACATACAATGCAACTTTTACCACGAGCTTCCTGCAGAGTTTTAGAAACGATGAAATTTGTGGACGTAAAGGCGGATAACACAACAACTGTTACATTTGCTTGCCAGGTAAATGATTAATATATATAGGAAATTTTTGACTTCAATATTTTAATTTTTAATCGAGCGTATATTTATTTTGACAATTAAGTTGACGACTTTAGAATATCCATTGGTGTAGTTTTCAGTATATAATTTTTGGACTACAAGTATCAGGAATTGAAGCTAATAGTTTGGCGGTATTCGAAACTACTGAGAATTTATTTATGTTGATACTCTAATGCAATGAGCCTGAAACTCAATTACCAAAGTTTGATACCTGAAACTCGTAGCCAATATGTACATGCATGTACAGTTTTTCTAAAACCAACGTCTAGTTGAAATAGAAATTGTTGTTGTTGTAGCCCGCCGGAATCTGTAAGGATTACAAGACGAATGCATGGGTTGGGATGTGAATGAGTCGCGTTTGGAGTAAGGGTGGGGAAGAAAAGAGGAGGGGATAATAGAAATTGTAGTAACTAATGTTGTTGTTCGAGGGAATTGAACAATTCCTAGGTGGTCATCAGACACGACACACTTTGTCTAACAATTAATAATTATTATTATAAATTTTGTCAATTCAAACTTTTTACATTTCATAGGACTGCAAAAAGAATTAATTCGATTGTTTTTTCAGGAGAATAATATACTTGAACTGTGTGTAGCAAAATACTGGTCAAACTTAGGATCAACTCATTTGAAATATAATTTAGAGTTTCATGGCATACGTGCAAGAAATTATAATCCATGTAAGTAAAATAAAATAGATGTATTATATCTGTTTGCTTTTATTTTATATAAACACTTTATTTTAGTTGTGCATCATGGCGGTATTGGTTTACAAAAACTTGTGCTCAACTCCATTGGAACTGAAGAAATTCAGCCTCAAGTAGCACTTAAAACCGCAGTTACATTGCACAAACCAAATGAAACAAAAATATCGCCGCTTAGTTCTACACGTGATATAATACCTGAAGGTCGACAAATTTATCAAAACATATTAAGCTATAATATCAATGTGCCTAAAGCTCAAGAGATATCTATACATGTTCCATTTTTCAATGACTTATTGTATGAATCTGAGTTTGAATCACAATTTTGGATGTTGTTTGACTGTAATAAAACTATGTGTATGTCTGGAGATTCTAATTCAAGAAAAAGTTCTGGTAAAGTGGATAAAGGTGATTACGTTCTAAAGCTGCAAGTACGTCACGAGAAGCGTGATTTATTACAAAAGATTTCTGATGCTTCAATTGTGGTAGAATATAAATTACCTAATACCATAACTGTTGACTTATATGATCAGTATAATCAAGGTCTTATTAACGGACGTAAATATAGTACAGGAATTATTAGACCAAATCAAGATAAAGTGCTGTATGTTGGTCTCGTATCGCAGGATAAATTAAGTAAATTAAGTTTACCACCCAATTGTTCCTATCTACATGGAACCATTCATTTTGCAAAGGATGAAACTGTTCGTCGTGTAGATTCTTACGGATATTCATATATATTGGGACCAATGGAGAAGAAGAATGGTAATGGCAATGGTAATGGAAGTGGTAACGGTGCTACTAAAAATGGTGCTAAACCTACAAATGATCCTGCACCTGCTCCGGCAGCTACAACTGGAGGTGGTGATGCGGCACCACCATTAGCACAATCAGCATCTAGCACTGCAGTAACAACCGAAGAAGGTTCACCAAAAAAAAATAAAGTTTCAAATGACGATTATAAAGAAAATTTGCGGGATTTTAAATGTGGAATGATAGCTAAGTGTGGTAAGTAAACACATTGTTATGGTAGAAATATGTAAATCATATAGATTAGTTATTCCAACCAGTAAACAATTTTAGTTGATAAAATTTTTGTTTTTTTTTGCGTGAAAATTTTTTAAATATTTAGTTTGTAAAAGAAAAAATTCTGTTCTTTTTGTATTAATACAAACTAAAATAGATTTAAAAAAATGCGTATACGCTGTCAGTTAATTTGTGTGAGAGAAAGCTCTTTTGTAAAAGGAAGAGTCTTTTAAAAAATGTAAAGAAGTTTTATGCTTATTCTATACATTTACATGATTTAATTTAAAAGGTAGAACTTAGTTCATTAATAATATTTGTTTTAAATTATAGAACTTGACATGGCTGAAAAAATTTATGCTGAAATAGTTGCTGAGCATCCCAAACATTTAGTGCCACATTTACTAATGATTCAATTGATCGAAACACCAGAGCAGAAAGCAATTTTTCCGTTCACTTTTGAAAACTCACTCAAGCAGGATGTTGATAGCGATAAATCGAAAGAAGACACACAAGAAAACTCTATTACAAAACTACGCATTATTTTGGAACGCATTGTAAAATTATCAGATATTATCATTAAAGAGACCGAAAAAGATGCGCTTTTAACCTATTATGGCATGAAATTTGATTCACGCGAGAACGCAGCTAAGATTAAATGGTGAGAATATATTTATATAATTTTTAAATAGTTGTTTTAACATAAATGAATATAAATATTCAATTTTAATTATAATAAATTTATTTTTAATGATTCTAAATCGGTTTTAATATTAAAGTTATTTTCAATATTAATAAATATTTATACTATTAATCATTCTATTATCATTATATATATTATTACAAGAAATAATTAAAAATTATTTACTAAAATAACTTTATTAAAATTATTAATAAATTATTATTATTAAATAAAATATTTTTTTTTTTTTTAATGCAAAATATAAATAAATTTTTATTAATCTTCCTTTTAATTTTAGTAATATGGATAAACAAAAAAATACACTGATAGAAGCTTTTGTTAAGAAAGGCATTGCATTGATTAAGTTGGGCATATTAGATAATAATTTGAGCACAAAATCTAAGGATTTGGACGATATTTATTTGGATATTTTAAGATATGTTGAAGTAACAGATTCAAAAGTAAGATATTAAAAACTATGGTATTAAAATTTTTATTTCATATATATTTCTATTTTAGGTTATTCCATTCGCTTTATGGTACGCCTACAGTAAATCTCAATATGGGCGCATGTACAAACTTCTGCTTAAGTCATATGAAGAAAAGAAGAACAAGGAAGTATTTGAAGAGATTGCTTTGGTTAACAAAGCTTTGAATTTTGAACATTTGAAAGTTCTACAAAATCGTTGGACTCTTTACTGTTATCCCAAAACTTATCGCATATTTTAAGACACAACATGTGGAATATACAACTAAAAAACACGCTCATGTCCGATACTTTTTGATTAATGATTTAACAATTTAAATTCTTAGTACAACATAGTTTATATAATCTCAAAATTGTTATAGTGAATTATTTAATTTCTTTAAGATTAATAATTTTTATAAAAAAAGACATCATATGTAATTAAAAACTCAAGTTTGCACTTTTTAATAACAGCAAATTAATTCACTGATTTTATTCACTTTAAAACCAACAATTGATTATAGGATATTTTACTGAAAGTCACAAGTGGTTATATGATAGTCAGTGTTTTATTGATCATTAGTTTTAAATTTGTAAAAATGTTCCATATTTCTGTCATAATTTGTACTCATAAATAATTTATTTTTCTTAATGCTGATGGAGTTATTTATTTAAAAAAAATGTTTTAATTTACTTTTGGTCGTTTTTTTGGTATATAAGATAAAGCATTTTTGCAAAATAATTCATATTGATACAGATATATATAATGCTATAATTTCATAACTAAAATTATAAATAAATTGTTAATACGACCAATATTCAATTAGTTTTTATATTTGTTATTTGGCTTAGGTTGTTTATTTATTTGTTTAGTAAACGATCTAAGCCCAGTAACAAATATAAAAACGAATTAAATTATAAATTCTATTTTAATTATAATTTCTTTTATAATTACTAATTAACATAAATTATATATACATTAGTAAAATAAGGGTATTAACGAAAATCCTTTTAAAACTTAAATTCAAGCAACGTACAATAGTTCTCTATGAACTCTATAAAAGTTTACGAGGTTGCTTAAATCCTGCAACTGATTCAGCTATCGAAGCTTGGATTGCTGCTTTGTATAATCTGCCGTGAATGATAACTCTGCTTTTCTCCGAATTATTCATGGAAGACGTAAGTAAAGAATTTGATTTTAATAATTAAATTTTATGAACTTTTATGAAATTTTAGTTTTTTTCCATTTTCTTTTTGAATTGTTTTTATTTCCATTAAATTCACGACTAAGTTAACAGAATAGTTGATTTAGGGGATTGAAATTTAAGCAAATATGAATTCTTTGGGATTTCTTATTTAAATTTGAGCAAATTTGTGATGTTTGGTGAAATTTTAGCAATTTTCATATGCTAAGTTTGTTAATATGTTTGCAATCCATTGAAGAAAAAATGGGGATTGATATAAATCATATACATTTTTCTACTAATGTCGTAACTTGCTAATCTAATTACCAACGTCTGTGTGCCTGGATGTCGTTAAATTAGTTTCTGAATTTTGAATGAAACTTTGTAAATACAGACAGGTCACATCGATAAATAGATGATAACGTCATGTAATGTGAGTGCTTATGATATTATTCTAGCTGTTTGAAGCACTTGAGCAATTATCTCGAGAACAGCAAGCCGGTCACATATATTTGAACATCATATGGTGATCTAGTATATGTTGTTTTGTATATTTTTATTAAATATAACAAAAACAAAACATAAACAGATTTGCAGTTCAAGTAGCTCAAATATTATCGAGCATTTCCGAACTTCTGAAGTTGTTGATCTAAATGTTGGAATTCAAGTATACTCGAACTGTTCGAGCAGTTCAAAGAGGGATTTATCTTCTAAGACCCACTTCTTCTTGGATATGCCACTGGATTTAATATGCTATTTTATTTCCATTATTCGTTAAGTTCACATTTTCAAAGATGATGATAAAACTTTGATTTGAAATGGTTATCAATTTAAAGCTATTAATTATGAACACAAATTATAAGCTGTTATAATATTTATATTTAAATAATCGGTAAAATATCGTCAATATTTGATATAACTAATCTCGTCTTTTTTATAGTAGAATTATTTTATTTTTATGATTGATAAATAATGTGTAATATGCAAGTCTTTGTAGAAAGTTTGATGGTTGAGAAAAAATCAATGCCTATAGGACTCCAAATATTAGCAATAACGTATAGCTAATTCTACTCTATAGCTGTAAGATTTGGAAATTTACAAATAACATCTACCTAAAATTGCAAATATTTTGGTACATGATGGCCTTAACATCATTCTTCACTGAAATCGATATGTTAGTCATTGACCAGGTCAACTTAGATAAACACTGTTGCAATCGATCATCGTTGTAAGCTACCAAACCTAAAGGAATATGGATTGAAATAGGCAGTTTGTGTGCGCCACATTTAATTTTTGTTATTAATATGTTAGAATTAATAAATGGTCAGGAGTTTTCTCGCAATTCGCATGGTTTTTCAAGCTGAACTTTTAGCAGCTAATCCCAAGTCGCCTAAAGGACATATTGAGTATTGCTATTGTTATTGATCGTTTAAAGAAGTAGTTACCTTTATTTTCTTTAGTTTATCAATAATAATTGGACGACACTTAACTAACCGGTTGAACCGGCCGTCATATAACACGAGATATTTGAAACTTATTAACAGAACTGCGTAAATGTTATAAAGCTTACTGCTGTTCTCTCTAATCACAGGAATAAAGAAATTCAAGCATTTAATTGAATAATACCATTGGGTTTCAGAAGAAAAAACCATATTGGGGAAATATTTCTTTGATAGTTTGTCGGACTGTATTTCGATAAGGACGAAAGAAGTGTTCAATTATCTACATTCATTGGGATGAATGTAGTTTCTATCTCTTAGATTTCTAGCGGGGAATGCGATGAAAAAAAGGCGAATAATCGAATAAATTTTTCAAATAGTAATGGTAAGTGAAAGAATGTCTATTGAACTGATACTGCAATTCACCAACCAAACTGTATTAAACCTATATTTGTATGCATGCATATCAAAACTGTGTAATCGATATCTGTATATTTTTGATATTAGTTTCCAGATAATTAAGGAAACTTATACATAATAAAAATATTGTTAAAGGCATTGAAAACATCAGCATTGATAAAGTCTTACAAGTACTCGTAAGACTATAATATAAAATATACATGATATTACAAAACTCGTATAAAAATCTAATGTAGTTTAATACACATAATTATTTATTGACTTATAATAGCGCAAAAATTTTTTATTTTATTTATAATTTTTGTTTGCTATATTATTAATAATATAATAATAATAATATTAATTATAATAATATTTGTTTTTGTTTGGCTGAGCTAATTATATTTTATTTTTTATTGCATTGTCTTCTTTTATTTTATTATTATTTTTATTTATTATTTTATTTTATTTACTATATTATATTTTTTATTTTATTTATTATTTTTTTATTTTTTATTGTATTGTTTTCTTTTATTTTATTTATTTTTATTTATTATTTTTTTATTTAATATTTTTTTTAATTTTATTTTCTGTCATTGTATATTATATTTTTTAATATATTAATTTATACAATTTCTTGTGTAAATTAATTATTAATTCAATAATTAATACTTTCAATTCTTTTTATGCTTCAGGCAGGATTTTAAATAATCTTTGGCATGATCACATGGCGCGTTCGAGTGGTATTGCTTTGGTGGACAGTTCAATATTAACTCATTTGAGACGCATTCAAAGACTAAACCGGGATATACATGACAATTATATTTCTTTAAACGTTCCGCCAGTTCCTTAACGTGCTTGTGTTCCAACATATCTTTTGCTAAATTAATTTTTGGAAAAACAAAATTATTTTTCACTATTTTTAGGGTTGACATCGTTGACAAGTTGCTTCCAAAAATTCAAAATTATAATTTAATTACCATGTTTGCCACACATTTCATATGTTTTCAACATTAGCGCTTCGGATGCTTCATCTCCATGCAATTCTGACAGATGATGCTTGATGAGTCCCATTTTCAAAGATTTCCGATCCGCACCCAAATAATGCGTTGCATTGTAAACACATTCAGATACGCACTGTGCATATGGAAATAATTAGCCTGAATTTTAAATAAAATTAAATGCAAAAGAACAACAACAACAACTTACAAAATTATAATTCATTTCCTGTTCGTCGTTGGTGTAGTGAATCTTATCAGACCATTCAATTTGACAATCCATAAATTCGGAGCTTTCATCGTGTATATCGCAACAGAATTCATGCTTTTCAAAAGTACAAAAAAAGTATCATCGAACTAATTTTCGATCATTTATGTGACACCTTACCATTGTGCTTGGCGCGTAAAGCTCACAATCTTCCGAATCTAAGGGATACGCCGCTACTAACTTTTTGAAAACGTAAATATATTATTAATGAAAGTAAATTAATATTTACCATAAAATACGATGCTAATAAATAGATGGGATTCATTCTATCAACGGATCAGCAAGTTTGCTCAATAATTAAAAATCAAGTTTTGCCAAATTTTGGGTTTTTATATAAACTTTGGATAAACAGTTGGAGTGAGTAATTATCCATGACATGGAGAGGTATGTTTAATAAAAATTTAATTAGTTCAATTTCACGTCGCTTTATATTTAATTATAAGCAATTATTATTGCGTACCTATAATCACAATAGGCGAAGTTGTAGGTACTCTACTTCATAAAGATTTCACGAATCTATGGTTTCCAGTTAAAGAAATAAATTATATATTTATTAGAGAGATTTCGAAAAATAGTGAACTACAACAACACAAAATTATTTTTTATATTATTTTAATTAATTGAATTTTTGGCTGACTATACAGCTGTTTTGAGTATTGCCAAATAACCATCATCAGTGGTCTTGGAAGTAATTTTCGTGTTTAATTATTCGTAAATAATTTTTTGAGACTGTAAGCACCAGTCTCGTAAGCAGGTTGAACTCGTGTCCTGCCAAATTTGAAGCTCAGAGTCAGCGTTTATTAGCCAACTGACACGAAGCCGTACTTGACTAGTATGCTCGAGCTTGGATAATAAATTTACGTGCTATGTTATATATTATAACGAAATCATAAACCATCTATAAAATAATTGAATTAATTCATTATATTTATTTTTATTGTTTAATTTTAATACTTTTATTTTGTAGAGAAATTATTTGTTGCATGTTTTTATTTTATTCTTTCTTATGTATAGAACCTAAACTAGGAAAGTATTACGAAGAAAGTTATGTTAACATAATGTTACTTCACGATTCGAATGGGCGATACCATATATAAGTTATATATTTATCTTATGATTATTATTATTTAAATCAGTTGTAATTCAATTTTAATCTATTGTGCAAGTATAAAGACTAAATTTAAACAGTGCAATGTATTTGTTCTCTTCTTTCCGATTTCTTTTCGTTTGACAATAGTATAATTAAGTGTTATAATTATTAAAATATGGTCTACCGTAGATCATAAAATTTAACACGTCCGACCTTTAAAATAATGTCATACTTGGATATCTGCTTACGTCTTATGAAATGGTAACGAAATAGTTAATAAACTTCGCGAACGAAGATGTTTCAACTCCCCTTATTCGTACTAAATATTTTTATGGGATATTGATCAAATCTAAATGGTTCTTGATAGCAATAATAATAAGACTTATACGTTGGAATGGATTGTGCACATTAAAAATGTGTAAAATAGTACTGAAGAAAAGATTTACTAGAAATGTTAACGTAACCCGTGTCGAAGTAATGGTATCTTACCATTTCCAGACTCAAAAATCAATTTATTCATTTCATTGAAATCGAAGAGCCGCCTTATGTCATTATAATGAAGGATAGATGCTTCGAACATTATCTTGAATTTGGCGTTCATTCATCTCATGGAAAAGCAAGTAGTAACAAAATCAGCCCTAAAACTAAAGGATAATGTAGCATAAACACAAAGTGATAATGAAGATGTTTCCATATTTAGAAAATTGGCAGTCAAAGCAGCAAATTCTGTCTAGTATAGCTTTAATTTGTAGTTGAAATATAATGGAAAAAATGAGAATACGATAAAAAAAGTTACTCTTCCAAATATCTGAATAGATTCTAGTTGAATACCAAGGTGGGGAGAAGAGTCTATTATCATAGCCTGAAATATAATTATCTACCCGACTGGCGAATCATTGCAGTGTATTCCAAGTGGAAGTTCCTATTACTAGCCTTATTACTAGGATAGAAAAGAGGTACTATCCTTACTGAAACACGTTAGGTGCTCTAAAATAAAAATATACTTATACTCTCATAATCAAGTCGCGCTCTCTTTTATATTGTTAAGTTCGAAAACCTGGCATTGTGACATTCAAGGTAACTACATAGTAGTTGAACTTGCCAGGAAAGATACTATCGCTGAAGTTTTTCCCGAAAATAACATAGCAGATATACTCATTGGAAGTACATTTTTACCTATAAACACTTACATATATGTGGCTAGAAGTAGACGGTAAAAAATATATCTAAGTCGGCTTAATAAGCAGGAGTTTGTCGTTTTGATCGGTGTGATAATAGGTCATTCTCTGATTGGCAAAGACGCTGCTATAGTCAAGTTAACTCAAACGATTTTTTTAGGAGTTGCCAACACGAAGAGGAGGAAGCAAAGATTGAGCATCTTCTCTGCAAATGTTCAGTTTTATGCAGAATTCGTATGAGTACACTAGGGAAAGCGTTTCTGGATAATTCGGGGAAAATTGATTTATTCTCCACTATGATGTTTACGAGGCTCTGTGAGTGGTTTTGTGTAGAACGACAAGGGTTTTCTCAAGTAGGAACTCGTTGTACCACAATGGCTCCATACGTCTATGCGTGTCGCAATGGATGACCGCCCTTTACCTACCTACCCACCACCAATTTTGCATTATATTTAACTGACTGAATACATTAAATATCATTTTCATTCAAACATAATAATTTTATTTTAATATACAATATTAATATTTTATTATTGTAAGTGTAGTTTTTTGACGCACCCATTAATAATTTTTGTGCTGTAATTAAAATTTGAATATGGCTTAATGTAATTTTTCACAATAATATTTAATATGTTTATTAAAATTAATTTTGATATACGGTAAATACGGTAAACACGCACTGGTGGCCCCATCATTAGTTTTGCCGTAAAGATAAATGAACCAAATCGCTAGATATTAATCAAAAAACAAATCAAAACAATGCAAATCATCCAGACCCGCCCTTTATTTCAAAAGAAACAATTAAAGAAGCCTCTGACCTAAAAAAGTAAAAGAAGAAATATTATAACATTACCGCTCATCGCTTATTATGCAGTCACCTATATGTGCAGTCAGAAGATGAGCGCCGATCCAGGAAACCCTAACGTAACGCACTCGACTGCAACTAATTAAAGTACAAAACGATCATTTAAGAATTTATGGTTCAGCAGATTTAGAATGAAAAATATTTCGTTGATTTTGAATGAAAGCGAAAGAGTCGGGTCGCGCCAATGCATCTTCTTTGAATGAATACGAATACTGCGGTGCGTAAGGAGCAACTTCGATATTACGTGAATGCAATAAATCAAGTGTTAAAATATTTTTTCCATACTTCACTGTCACAGCACCGCAATTTAATAGATGCCTAAGATGCCTACTGCTAGTCAGTCAGTCGGAGAGTGAGCCAGTCTCTACATAAGGTAAATTTATTTTCGTATTTTCATACCCGCAAGCCGCTTAGTTTCTTTTAAGAATAAATAATTTTCTATTTTGCCAGATGTTTTGTTGCCTGAGAGTGAACTTATCGATCAATTAAGAGTCTCATTTCTGATGTGGAAACGGAAAACTATCGTTAGAAGAGGATGGTTGGCATTATATCGATGAACGTGAGGTGTTATGTGTGTAAAAAATCAGGAAGAGTTTTACAGCATATAATGATCAGAGATAAACATTTTTGTCTTTAAATCAATGTCAATTTAATGCAGTATTACATAAAGGTGAGTTAAGACTATCAAATCATATTCTGAAGTGCAAAATATGGAAAACTGTGTGTATATGTACTTATTTAGTTTTCAAAAAAGAATCGAAATAAGTATGGTATCAGTAATATTAAAGATTAATAGTTATTTAGTTTAGATCAAAAGCATTTAAATTTTGCAGCAAACATAAAATTGATATGATATAAATTGATATAAAACTGATATTGAGTTTGGAAAAAAATATTCTAAATTCTTTGTTAGTATAGGTTATGTTATACCGACTATCCCTAGGAGATCAACTTAGGCCTATTGGCGCATTGAGTTGCCGTATATGGAGGAAAATTCATGATTTAAAACCACCTATAACCTTTGGCGACGCTCAAAATGATGTATAGTGAAAGGTTTTGAAATTGTCGCCGTGCATGATATGAGCAAAGACAAAGTAGATAAAAGGCACTTTCATCGTCTTCCCCATAGCTGCGATAGGTATGATTGCAAAGGAGATTTAATCTTCTAGCATGGTTCCATAATTTGCAGTGACCTGTAAGTAAACCTACCATAACACTGATATCTCTAGAGGGCATATCAATGAGAATATTGGATTTCCTTTTAGTGAAAAGTGGCCAGATTGCAATCAGATGCCCGCATATCGTTGAGTCTTCGCGTCTTTTATTAAAACTTCTTTGGTGAAAATTTATATTTTTTTCTGAAATTAATTTCATATATATAAATATGATCCATTTTTTTTTACCATTTGCTGCCGAGTTCCAATTAAAACCATCGTTCTTTTATCTCTGAGTTCAGGTGTTTTATCTTTCATAAAATGATATAGCTACTATTTTTTGTATTCTTTTGATATTTAATTAATACCAATAAGAAATTATCTAATTGATTATAGATAACTACTGCATGTCGTCTTTGCAACGTCTCACATGCTCCATCAGCCACCTACATATTATATATCACTTGATTGCTCCACCTGAAATAAGGTCCCTTTCCTTGCCCATCATGGTGAGTTTATTTTAGCTTTAGTGTCTGTCATCTTCCATTGATCAAGGCAAATTATGATCTTATATTGATGTAATGTTAGGACTAATTAGTTGATGATGTTAGTTGTGCATGATTAATCCTACAGTTCTGTACTATAATTTTAAATTGATTAAAGTAGACAAAAGTTTTTGATCTAGTCTTAATTTCGAGTTTAAGTTTAATAGCCTGTGAACTATCTGTATTTTAGACGACATTCTTCTCTTTATTTAGCGATTTTTTTCGGATATAAAATAATATTTTTTTTTTAATAATATTTTCTTTTTAATAATATTTGACACGAATCATCAATCTCAATAAAATATTTATCACTCATCAGCTAGTTTGTCAAAACAAAAAAGAAAGAATTGACATGTCAATTGATAAATTACTGCTGTTGAAAGCCAAATTAACAAAAGAACGGTGAAAACTTTTTGCCCAACCTATGATAGATATATAAATAAATATCAATCAAGTTTTCTTAATTCTTTTAAATACTAATATTTCTAAGTTCTTAATTTGTTAAAGTTAAAATATATAAAAGTAAAAATATATAACGTTTCTATATATTTTTTAATATAATTCATAAAGTCAATTATGATGATAGAAAATTATTTTACTAATCGAAGAATTTGAAAATTAATATATGTTTTGTTGATATATATATTTTTATATTAATATATAAAAAAAGATTATGTATTTATAATATTATGCAAATGTAGAATATTACATATATAACGTATGAACTTGTTTAAATGCTAATTATTTTTTATCTATATCTCGAAGACCACACAACCAAAAAGCATTTCAGTTTACATTTTAAATCAAATATTGTGCTTTATATTATATTTTTTATTTTTTTTATTTTTATTTTTACCGAGTAAGTGTTGTGCTTGTATATTTAGTTTTTATGTTCCCATAAATACCAAACAAATAATTCTCAATATTTTTATGTTTAAAAAAACATTTTCGTGAATATTTGAAAACGAGCCATAAATATTTCTTAATGGCGCGAACATTAATTTTCCTGAACTACGAGAGAACTACGAGAACACTGAGTATCTTAGACTTAAGGCATAGTATTGCTCTCTAACACCGTCACACTTTTCTAGCTGGTACACCCTCTAAATTGCCTGTAAGCATTCGGGCACAACGTAGCTTCCGCTTTTTTCCAACACCAGAGGAAAATGTCTTTGCATAAACCGTAACATGGAGACCGCACACATTCTGCAATCCGCCTCCATTTAGGCTCTGCTTTTTTACGATCTTACCGATCTTTGCCGATCTTTGCAGACGCTGCAGACGTGCGCTCACTCTTTGTTCTGCTGCTGACTTGTCTCCGTACTTAGAAGATTGTAACTGTAAATGAGAAAGATGCACACAACTCAATTTTCTCAAATAAATTCTGTCTACAAATGATTTTGTGAAAATAATTCACACCACTTAAGTGGAAAGCAGTTGGTGAAGTGAAGCTACAGCGAATGGTTCGCTGATCGGACCCAATTCCGAAAGTATATAGTGCTATACTGAAAGAAAAAAAATAAATCAAAGACTTTTACTTATTGTTAGTGGAGTTATTTTTAAAAAATATATTTTTGGACTGTTTGTATTGGAAACCAGGCAGTTTATGATGGTTTTGTGAAGAAGATTTCTGAAAGTGAAATAAAATATTTAACATTATTCCAAATTATTCAATTTGTGTGTCTACGTGTAAAAAAATATTATAAAAATGTTAAATAATTTAAAAAAATATTTGTGTTTGGTGGTTTTGTTCTGCACCGTTTTAGTATCCGGTCAACATCAGCACGTTCTGGACAGTTTGCGTTTAAATGAATTTTATGATTATGTGGATCGATCCTTGCCAATTCAATATTTGAAGAACGGAAATAGTGAATATGCTGCTCTACAATTGGAGACTCCAATTAATTTCTACAGCGAAAAATATGATCAAATTTTTGTACGTAGTCAATGTTAATATATATATATATATCTTTACCTTTTTTTGTTCAAAAACCGTTTAAAATTTTGTCCTTTATTGATTGATTTTGTCCATATTTGAAAAAATCTAAAATAAATGTGTGATTAAAAATTGATAAAAATTATAAGTAATATATTCAAATATATATCGATGGTTCAACTTTGCATACAAAGTAAATGAAGACTGACAATAGAAATGACCCTGTTAAGTGTGGTCTCTTATATTTTACTTCTATTGTAATACTTCTATTTATTTATTTATAATATATCAGTATTTAGTTATCTGCTTACAATACATTAATCATTCAAAATAAATATTTACATTTAATGGATTCAACTTAATTGTGTTTGGAATGATACTGAATTCATTCGAAATTACTACTTGTACTACTTGTGAAGAGTAGTGCTGTGACCACAGTGCAATAGCACAGTTTTGCACTACTAACTCACCGTAACAGATTAGAAGCAGATTAGTAGTTTCAATAAAGGGAAGAATTAATTTCGTTGATAATTTCCTAACATCAGAAATAAGAAGATATTCTGGGATTGGATTTTATGTTTTAACGCCATTAAAGATATTTAAAGACAGCTTAAGAAATTAAATATTTAATAATAATAAAAATTAATAATAAAATAATACAAACTAGTGATTCTTCTATAAGATAGATGCAATTTTAATGTCAATTTTTTATTCAAACCTCGTTTTAAAATTTTTTTATTTAAAAATTTTGATTTATTTTTCTTTAATATTATCTAGATCATATTTACAATAGATACGAAATAATAATATATACCATTTTTAAATTCCAAATGCAGTGTAAAATAAAATAGCTAATAAAATTCTATGCATTAATAACACATTTTATAACGAAAAGAGTGTTGTTCATGTTCTCTAGAACAGTGCGTCCTTGAAAATATTTAATATAAAATATTCTCAAATACTATTTTTACCCGATTTTTACATTAACTCTATTAGTGAAAAAAACCTAAGGCTAAAAAATCTAAGCAAGGAAATTCTAATGCATGCAGATACTGACTAATAATGGATGGTTGGTTGCAGTGGCAGGCCATTAGATAATTTCCATGCTACCACATTCTTTATATTCTTCACCAATAAACAGTCAAAGAAGTATCTTCCTAAAAACCTAATTCATCTGAATGTCAAAGCCGGGCATTACAGAGAAATTGTATAATGGTCTATTTTTCTTGCGGGTTTTCACAACTTCTGCAGTGAGAATTATGGGGAATGGACAGTTTTTCCAATGACCACAAAAAACTACAGCAAGTCTTAATAGTGTATACTTCTCATAAATGAAATGCTTTTTTAAAATTTTTTCAATTAAATTATTTAAATTTTTAATCCAATTTAGTTTAGTTGACTAAATCGATATTGTTATTCTTACTCAGTGATCTGGTGTCTGTTGTACTACTATATATTGTACTAAAAATCCATGTTGTCATTGTTGTCAAGACATTTTATGATATCGATAACAAAAAGACAAGTGAGTCTTGTGGGTTATTAAAATAAATCGAACAATGATTGGATTGCATTGTATAGTTAATGACTTTTTATACTGTAAAAACGTAAACTGGATCTCTAAAGAAAATGCAAACAACAGTAAAAACTTGGTTTAAACTTCTAATTGTTCGGACGTCATAAATAAAAATATTTTTCAACAAAATACTAATTTTTTAAAATATTTGAAAACCTATTTGCTGTTGATATTATGGTATTTAGATGCCCTTTAAATTGTTATGTTCCATACACCAGATTACCAAGAACCTTCACTAATATAGCAGTTGTTCAGTTTTGACGTACAAAGCACTCGGATGACATTATTGGACTGCAGTATCAGTTTATAATACTGTTGACTTTCTTTAAGAATATACACTATTATTTACCTATGCCACACACTTATAGCAAAGCTGAGATGATTTTAAGACAGAGGTTTTCAAGACTTTTAGTGGATATTTTTGATGAAAGTTGTTGCAAAACCGACAGAATTGTTTGATATTTTAACGACTACGTGTCTTACTTTAAAATACCTGGAAAAACGCTATAGCATAATTTCAAGAACCCAACGACAGAAATAAATGACGAATTATCTTAACAGCCATTTGCATTATTTCTCTTTTCTATTTGATTTAATAAATCAGTTCTAATATTTACTATTTAATAACATTTAAAAAAAAATACGCATGGTAATTTTGCTGCGGGATTATGAATTTGTTTAAATTATAGAAAAAATAATTTTCATTCTTCATATACCTTTTTACTTACATCTGAAATCGAAGTTATGTTATTCAATTTTATTCAGAAGTAACTAATGTGCGTCATGGATGCATTTTTGGATAAAAAAAAAATTAAAATCCTTTTAAGTTAGGAAAAAGATTACATCTACATCTTACATCTACAGCTTATAAATTGAATAATTTCTTAACATATTAGATTTTGGGTTGAATTTGTTCAAAGTTAAACGCATTTTAAAAGTACGAACGTTTAGCATTGTAGTATATGCTAAATTGGGCTAATTGATTAAATGCTTCGCAAAGCAAAAGCATTCAAAAAGCATCTACCGTCACTTCTATCTGGATGTGTAGCATTTAGTAAGACCTCAAACCCTACTATTCTCCAGCTAGAAATTGCACAAAGCCAGGCTTTGAGAAGACTTTTCAAGGTACTATAGTACATTAGGAAGAATGACATCCTCAGGGACCTCAATACTGATCCGATCAAAAAATACATAAAGGATAGAGCACTGAAATTATTTGCGAAAACTGACAGGCTCACCAACACTGCGTTATCAAATCTCAAAATGGTTACAGGCTCCTTGGGGAGGTATGCAGATCTGAGGTCAGTTATTGCTTAGTCTGAGGAACAAATAAACAATAATCCATTCAAGGCGTAAAGAGGGCTTTTGAAGGTTCATCGTAGTTATTAAAGAGTAAAAGTGCTCAAGTGCACTAGCTCAACTAGTCTCAACATAATAATAAATAGAACACATTTCTAGTGCTTTGGAAGTTATTGTTGAAGCACTTGAAATATAAATTTTCAAATTATTATATATTATGCTTTATATTGTAGTTCAATATTTTGCTTAATCACCAGAAATATATTTATAGTCATAAACCTATATATAGTTATATACAAAAGTGCTGTTTATTAACTTTATATAACCGTTATTAGTAAGTTTTATACTACCTACATAAAGATATAATATATTTAAATTTGTGTATTAGCAAAAATTATTTTAATATAATTATAATCATTATTTTGAAATAATTTAACGATAATAATAGCATTCAACAAGATTAAGTCCGACAAAACCATCGTTGTTAATGGTTATACTTTGTCATAGTTATACCATGCGTTGAAAGTTTTTACAAAGATGTTTTGAACAGAAATTTTTAACCTGTTTTTGGTTTATAGAATCTTTGAGAACTTTTTCGCAGTTTACATTTACAATTACCTAGATATAACATCAAAGTACCAATTCGTATTTACTTTTTATTTATTCTTAATCATTTTTATGCTATTAATATGTTTTAATTTGACTGTCCAAGTCTCCAGTTATCTGCTAATAGAAGATTCGTCACTACCATTGCTCCGTAACCACTTACATGGTTATTGACCTATGCCCATGATGTATTGCCTAATGACAATACCTGAACACGGTGAAGGCTATCCGATGGCATTTTTTACCTCTATGCGCAAATTATTTAAAATAAAAGTAAAAAATAAAAAAAAGGAATATAACTCAAAATATAAACAAGTCTTCGTACGTCTGCGTTTTTTTAGCGAGAGGCTACAATATCAACAGATATTCAAAATTCATTTGTCTAGTCCTCTATAAGTTTCCACTTATGCGTTTCACTCGGACATTTGAAGTTTCAATTCGAATATAGTTTTTGGTTCATTAATCTGTTTTTAAAATGTCAAATTGAATCTCTTTTTACTAGATAAGGGCCTATAACTTATAAGTCAACCATTTGTTCAGTTTTGACGCTCCAAAAATTTGGATGAAAACGATGAATTGCACTACTCAATTTGTAAAAATTCGTCGACAAAACTGGCACCAGGAATATGCGTATGTTGCCATTAGTTGCCTATCTTAAAGTCACTTAGCACAATTAAGTTGTTTTTTAGATAAAATTTATCTACTTTTTGGAAAACTACAATTATAGTATCTTTGATTTCATAAGGACTTGTTATTAGCACATTTCTTCCCCTTTTTTTATGCTGATTTGGGATTGGCACTTAATGGATCAAATGCACGTTTTATAAAGAAGTTATTGAAAAATTGAAAAAAATTTATGATATATATAAGTATATATATAATGTAAATATAATCTAAATATTTAACTATTCTTTCTTCCGCTTTTTTTAAGCACAAAATATGTGCTTTATAGTCTCTTTATTTTGTCAAAAAATCTGTTAATTGCCTGTTGATCTAATAAATATGTTTCTAAAAAAACTTGACATCCTTTGCACTTCTAATTAAAAATTATTATACATAAATTTGGTTACAAAAACTAAAAAAAATAGATCAATTAACTTAAAGGAATTCATATTTTCAAAGATTTAAACGAAAGTCTTGGCAGGTCGCCACGTTCGTTTTGTTTATGATCTGACATGTGCCTGACCACTTCGACTAAGAGTGGCGGGATCTTAAAAATAGATGACATTTTATGTTTTCTTGCTATTTTTTGAATTGTTTCTAAAAAAAATTATAAAAAATTATTAAAATCTATATTTTTCACGGAATCATAATTTTTTAAAAATAAAACAAAATAACATTTACACATAAATTTAAGTCAATAAATTGGCAGAGGAACAATAAAATGCTTGGTTTCAAGTGAGGCGCACTCACGATTCTTTCAGAACAAATTAAGTGAAACCCATAGGAACTATATTGACAAACTCTTAAATATTTTGAAATTAACATGAAAATAAACACTTTTGATTTTATTTGTGATTTACGAGTAGTTATTTGCTACATTTTCCGCCACATGTTGATCCATTTTTTAGAAATAGCCAACACACGTATATTTCAATGAGATTTTTAAGAAATTTTCTCAAAAATATTT